GAAACCCTGTCTCGAAAAAATGAAAATAAAAAAAAATATTAAAAAAAAAAGAAGTGACTCAACCATTGCAAGGTGGAGATTAAATCTGACATTAAAAAGGACATAAAAAAAATTGTGAGAGCCGGGATGTAGCTGAGCCCTGAGCTGGAGCCCCAGCATCCCCCCAAAAGAAAATAAGAGCCAAGCAACTAGGCACCATGGCTCACTCCCCAAGAGGTGAGTACCTGGGAGGCTGAGAAAGGGGGCTTCTCATGAATTAGGCTAATCTGCCAGTCTGGGCTACCATCTCAGAGAAAAGGAAGGAAGGAGGGAGGGAGGGGGGAAGAAAAGAGGGAGGAAGGAGGGAGGGAGGGAGAGAGGAGAGAAGGAAGGAAAGGCTAGATATGTGGACATCATCTTTAACTTCCGTAAGGCCCATTCTTTCCCAAGCTCACAGCAACCTATAGCGGGGTATGTGTTGTCTAAGCCCTCTTCGAGGTTTGAAGAGCACTCCTTGTGGCAGAGCTCACCTTTCAATGTTCTGCCAGTGGACAGCATCCAATCCAGAAAGCCAGTGATGCTGGGAGAGGGCTAGGAAGACCTAGAAGGGACATTCCCTGGTGGATCCCACGGTAACAAAAATGAACTCCTGGGCACAGGGAAGTGAGGCCACATATCTTAACCAATGTCTGGCCTGGGGTAGGGGTGGGGGGGGCATACATAGCATATTGGTAAGGGCGGAGCTGTCCATCCTGGGGCTGTTCTGTGTTACATCTCTTTCTCTTCCTTCCTTCCTTCCTTCCTTCCTTCCTTCCTTCCTTCCTTCCTTCCTTCCTTCCTTCCTGTCTTTCTTCCTTCCTTCCTTCCTTCCTTCCTTCCTTCCTTCCTTCCTTCCTTTCTTTCTTTCTTTCTTTCTTTCTTTCTTTCTTTTTCTTTTTCTTCTTCAAGACAAGGTTTCTCTGTGTAGCCCAGGCTGTCCTGGAGCTTACTCTATAGACCAGGCTGGCCTCAAACTCACAGAGATCCATCTGCCTCTGCCTTTCGAGTGCTGGGATTAAAGGCATGTGCCACCACCGCCTGGTGATGTGAAGTGTTTCTAAAATTCCTTTGCAGAGGGAGATATAAACAATACCTCCCCTTCTTTCTAAAGTCCCAAAGACAAACTGAGGCACAATAAACCAAAGTTCACTCTGGGGAACAGATGAGTTTGTTGGACTTCTTTACTGAGCATTGGTGAGGGACTACATACAATTGTGAGTGCTTCTCCCCAAAATGGCCACAGCAGGAAGTCTAGGCAGTAGGGATGAGGGCAGTCCCCTAGCTGCATAGATGGACCCCTCCCCTCGTTTTCTTGCCGATACTCTAGACCACATGCAGTTAAAGCAGAGCTGCAAGCAATGGGTAGTAGGGAGTGGATGGATACCAGGCGGGCGAGGGTCTTGTGACACCTCCCACCCTGCCATGAGGGGATGTGAGAGTCAACAAGGCAAGCTGCGACAATTCTTTTTTTTTTTTTTTTTTTTTTTTTTTTTTTGGTTTTTCGAGACAGGTTTCTCTGTGTAGCTTTGGTGCCTGTTCTGGATCTCTCTCTCTGTAGACCAGGCTGGCCTTGAACTCACAGAGATCCGCCTGCCTCTGCCTCCCGAGTGCTGGGATTAAAGATGTGCGCCACCACCGCCCGGCTGCTTTTGTCTTCTAACAATGTATTTATTTATGTTGAGCTGTGTGCATGTGTGATGGCATGTGTGAAGGTCTGAGGACAGCTCTGGGTGTCAGGCCTTCGGCCACTTCTTTAGGCTTTTACATGGATCCCCAGAGTCTAAACTTAGGCCATCATGCTCATGTAGCAAGAGCATTTACATGCCGAGTCTTGGCTGATGCGTCCCGAGGGACTTGGTTCCCAGGAGCCTCTCTTTATCTGGTAGCATGTTCTGCTTCCCAAGGAGACAAGCACTTTCTAGCCTGGGGACCTTGGCAAGTGCTGTTCCGTCTGTCTGGAATTTCCCCATCCTCTTTCCCTGTTTACCACTCATGTACTGATTAGTCCCTAAATTTAGCTCTTCAACCCTGTTTGCTGTATTGAGAATGGAGCCAGGGCCTATGTGTGGAAAGTGACCCCAGTGTATCCCTGCTTAATTAATTAATTTGAGATAGGGGTCTCACTAACTACTTCAGGCTGGCCTTAAACTCATGATCGTCCTGTCTCAGCCTCCTGCGTGCTGGGATTAAAGGCATATACAGTCATGCATGGCCCAGTTTGTTGTATCTTATTTTACTTTGTTTCATTTTGCTTTATATTTTGAGACAAGGGATAAAGCCCAACCTGGCCTCATATTCACTATGTGTCTGAGGATAACCTTGGTTTTCCAATCTTTCTGCCTCTGCCTTCCAAATGTTGGCATTACAGGTTTGTGCCACCATGCCTGGTTTATGTGATACTGGTGATTGAACCCAGGGCCTTGTTTGTGCTCGGTCAGCTGTCTACCAACTGTGCTACATCCCAGCACCAGCTTAAATGCCACTTCCTGGGCTGGAACATAGCTCAGTGTCAGAACAGAGGCCTGCATGCACAAGGCCTTGGATTTGATCCACATCCTCAGAAAAAGGAAGTTAATTCCTCAGGGAGTCTTAGCCTGTCCCACCCCAGAGTGAGCTTGTCTCCTCCTGTCACACACTCTGGTTACACTGGGACTTTTTTTTTTTAAAATATTTATTTATTATGTATATAGTATTCTGCCTGCATGTGTCCTTGCAGACCAGAAGAGGGCACCAGATTTCATTACGGGTGGTTGTATGCCACCATGTGGTTGCTGGGAATTGAACTCAGGACCTCTGGAAGAACAGTCAGTGCTCTTAACCACCGAACCATCTTTCCAGCCCCTACACTGGGACTTTTATTTGCAGCACTTTATCACAGTTGTAGCCATGGGACTTCGAGGTCCTATTTCAGGACCTTGGCATACAGTAGGGGCTGAGGTAAAAGAAATTCTCCTTTCTACACTCCTTCCACCTTCCTCCTTTATGCCATCCCTGAAGCTGCTAAATCCCTATCAAATTCTCAGTTGCAAGTAACAGATGCTCCAACTCACACCTGCCCCCAACAAACAGTGAAAGCATTGGCCCAGGAGTTTTAGTGTCCAGCTGTGGCTCAGGTTTCCAGAATGGCTGCATTCCAGGAACCCAACAGTGTGCTCCAGATCATTCTCTGCTTGGGTGTGGTGGTGCACACAACACTCAGGAAGTAGAGGCAGGAGGATTATCACAAGTTTGAAGCAGGTCTACATAAGAGTTCCAGGCCAACCAGGCCTGAATAATGAGACCCTGTCTTAACCTACCCTTTCTGCCGCTGCACAGACTCATTTTCTGTTCTGTTTTCTTCCTTATGCTCTGCTACTGGGCACCAGGCAGGAACTCCAGAAAGGTGGCAAAGAGCCTCTAGCAGCTCTAGGCCCAAGACCTTCTCACTTAGAAATACTTTCCCAATGGCCATCCTTCTACAGACCACATAAGCTGAGGGTGGCACTCTTCAAGGAAAATCCTACTGTAGGAAGAAAGGGAAATAGTTGAAGCTTGCTTTACCTGTGGATGCTTGAGCCCTCATTGATAATAAGCCATTCCCAAACTTAGTGACTACACTGGCTAGTTTTATGTCAACTTGACACAAGCCAAGGTCATCTGAGAGTAGGAAACCTCAATTAAGAAGCTGGCTCCTAGCAAAGTGGTGGGGGCACACACCTTTAATCCCAGCACTTGGGAGGCAGAGGCAGGCAGATCTCTGAGTTTGAGGCCAGCCTGGTCTACAGAGTGAGTTCTAGGACAGTTAGGACTATACAGAGAAATCCTGTCTTGAACTCCATCCCCCCTAAAAAATGCTTCCATAATATTGGGCTGTAGTGATTGATGGGGGAGGGCCAGCCCTTTGTGGGTGGTGCCATTCCTGAGCTGGTGGTCCTGGGTTCTATAAGAAAGCAGGCTGAGTAAGTCATGAGAGCAAGCCAGTAAGCAGCACTCCTCCATGGCTTCTGCTTTAGTTCCTGCCTCCAGATTCTTGCCCTACTTGAGTTCCTGCCCTGACCTCCTTCAGTGTTACCTGGAAATGCAAGATAAAATAAACCCTTTCCTCCTCAAGTTGCTTTTGGTCACAGTGTTTTATCACAACAAAAGAAACCCTGACTGAGATAGTGACTTTAGACAATTTTGTTTCATTTGCAGTTGTATGGGTTAGCTAGGCTCAGCTGGATAGTTCTGGGATTGTATCAGGGTTGCTTATACTGCAGATTGTCTGTGCTGAGAATCCAATATGACCTCCTTGGGCTAGGGTTATTAATTCAGTGGTAAAGCATTTGCCTAGCATCAACAAGGCCCAGGTTCAATCCCTAATACCATAAAAAAACAAAACACAAATACAGATAGAATGCCATTGTATGAAACTGGCTGGGGCTTCCTCATGAGATTGCTCACTCTCCTACGGCTCAACCCAGACTCTTTCACTGTGGCAGGGAGGGAGGCTGTAAGGACTCTTACATCCCAGCCTTGGAAGTTACACAATGTCATTGTCATAATTTATTTAAAACTGGTGAAAGGTGACCTTGGCAGGTTGGAGCCAAGGGGCCCCAGAAAGTCACGCCACACAACAGAACTCATGTGGAGTGTTTATTGGGGAGACAAGAGCTGAGGAGAGAACAGGAGGAAGAAAAGGGGCAGAGAAGGGTCCCTGGGGACAAGAATGGTGGAAGAGAAAGAGACAGGAGGTGGGCAAGGCCCACCTTTATAAGGGAACGTAGTGAATGTGCACAGGGGGTGCTCTTAGTGGCTGCAGCTGAGGATGTATCCTGTCAGGACCCTAAGGACAGGCCAGTACAGTCCTTAGTAATGCTAACAGTCATGACAATATATCCTCCAATCAAAGCCAATCATAAGGCCAGCCAACATCTTCGGATTGGGGAAAGGTCTTCCCATCTATATAGGACCGCTGACAAAGCTGCAGTGCACCATGGGAAGTCATCATTGAAACCACCCACCTCTTTTAGGTCCCTTCATCCACTCTGCCCTCCCCTGAAGCCTGGCTCCTTTGACCTTTGCCGCCACTCGTGCTTCCTTTCCTTTAAGAAGTCTTGACTCTGGCTGGGGAAGTGGCTCAGTGGTGGAGCACTTGCCTTGTATGCTGGAGTTCCTGGGTTTAATTCCCAGTACTGCAAAACAAAACAAAACAAAACAAGGTGCACGCCTTTAATCCCAGCACTCAGGAGGCAGAGGCAGGCGGATCTCTATGGGGTCGAGGACAGTCTAGTCACATAGTGACTGTCTCAAAAAGCTGAACAAACAAAACCCCCCAAACAAACAAAAAACCCTAACAATTGCCCCTCCCACCCTCACCCAGGAAAACATCACGTTCTCTGCTATGTACCAGGGATCCAGTGTGGTAAGACCCAATTTCTGCCCATAGGGAGCAGCTTCTAGGAGCCAAGTGTGGTGGTGTGCACTTGGGAGCCTGAGGCCAAAGGATCATGAGGTCCAGACCATCTGGGTTACATAGGGAGAAACTGTCTCAAAAACCACAAAACAACACAAAACAACAAAACCCAAAACCGCCATTGAACAGATCGTCCTGACACAGTGCATTAAGGGCAGTACTTAAAGGGAACACAAGGCATCTGGGCACACAGAAGAGCAGCCAAGTTAGCCTTGGGGGCCAATGCTATTTTTATATTTAAGCACAGTAGAGGTCTCCAGGCTGACAAGAGCAGCTGTATTAGGCCATCATCTGCCTTCTCCCAAGCACCCTTCTTCTCTTCCTCCTTTTCCTTCTCCTTCCCCCACCTTGCCCCTTACTCCTGTCCCCAGCTGCATGGTGTGAAGCCAGAGCATCTCCCACAAAACAGGTAAGTGCTACATCTCTGAGGTGTGTCCCTAACCCCTAGGTAGAACTCTTCATTGAAAGTAATAGGAAGTAAATGCAGCAAATAGATTCAAGGAAAAGTCACAATTAGAACATTCTGGGCTATTAGTTTTGGGCATGGATAAATAGGGGACTCATCAGAAATATTTCTTCTCATTTCTTAGCTGGTTCCTTTTGTGTTGGTTTAACAGCTCCAAATTTATGTTCTGATCGTCTAGGCTGGATTACAGGCTTACTCTCTGGAATAGAGTGGGAGCTCCTCCCCTGGACTATAGGGTGTAAGAATGAAGCAGAAATGCACCCTGGATAAAAGAACAAAAGGATATGGAAACCTGTGTGGTGGCTCAGTACTGGAATTCCAGTACTTGGGAGGCTGAGGCAGGAGGACTGCTGTTGAGATTGACGTCAACATGGGCTACATAGTGATACCGTCTCAAATAAAAAAATAAAAACAAACGAAACAAAATATAAAGAGTGTGGTGGCACATGTCCATTATCCCAGCATTTGGGAGGTAGTGACAGCAGGGAATTTAATGCTATCCTTAGCTACATAAAGGGTTGGAGGTCAGCCCAGGTTACAGGAGACCCTGTCATAAACTAAAGTAAGAAAGGATCCCAAGCCAGTCAACACCAGGAGACTCTTAGGCAGGTGACTAATTGTGCAGCCTTTCAAGAGAAGTGTGATGGTGGAACGCAAGGTAGCCTTGGAGCTGCAGATGGCAGCTTGTGTAAAGAAAGAATTGGGAGCTGGCCAGAGATGGCCACTAACCTGAGCTTGATCTCTGAATCTCACGGGAGGAGGAGGGAAGTCCTACAAGTTGTCCTTTGGCCTCCATATGTACCCAAGCAACCATAAAAATAGTAATAAATAAAAATGTTAAAAAGAAAATAGGGAGCATGGGGTCAGGTCTGTCCAAGGCTGCTTGATTGTGTAAGATCGCCTGAGATATGGCTCATGTTTTTCCTGTGAAACTTTCTTTTCTCAGTTGTATTGAGGGTTAAGTGAAATATCAAACACAGAAACTTAAGAGAAGACTGTCGCTGGGCCGTGGTGGCGCACGCCTTTAATCCCAGCACTTGGGAGGCAGAGGCAGGTGGATCTCTGTGAGTTCGAGGCCAGCCTGGTCTCCAAAGCGAGTACCAGGAAAGGCGCAAAGCTATACAGAGAAACCCTGTCTCGAAAAAACAAAACAAAACAAAACAAAACAAAAAAAAAAAAAGAGAAGACTGTCCTATTCTCTTTGGCGTTAAATCAAACACTAAAGTCCTGGGGTTGGTGTACTCTGCACAGCAAAAAAAGGAGTGCCTTCCACCTAGTGGCCAGCATGGGTCACCGCATGCTAAAGCTGGCCCATTTTCATAACGGTTTTGATGTTTCTAGACTTAAAGCATTTATGGACAGTGACCTGGACAGTGCTAAAAAGGGATGTATGGGCTTGCTCTATAGTTCAGGCTTGGCACAGGCAGAGGCTTTGAGGTAGGTACTGTTTCATATTGGGGGGTGGAATGTGGTCTAACTAACCAAGATCACAGAGCTTTATGGGGGCAGACCTGGCATCTGAGCCCTGGCTGCCTGAATCCAGAGCTTGAGTTCTCTGAATTGCCCTACACTACCTCTCCAGGGCCCATGCGTATGTGAGACCTTCCTGGGTCACTAGAACCATGTGGAAGCCCTCTCTGATGCTTGCCTGCTGTGTGTGGACCTGTGCACTGATACCTGACATCATTCCAGGCTATTGAATCCCACATATGGTCTTACAAAGAATGCTGAAAGCAGGCTGTCCATGATGACTCAGGCTTTTAAATCTCAGCACTCAGGAAGCAGAGGCAGGTGGATGTCTGTGAGTTCGAGGCCAGTCTCGTCTACACAAGTTCCAGAACAGCTAGAGCTACGTAGACTTTTTTTTTTAATGTTGAAAGTAGAGTGCCCTATACTAGAAGACTGGGCCCTGAGCCCACCTTTCTGGTTGCCATCAGAAAATCCAACTTTAAAGACTGATAACAATTAGCACAGACAAGAAATGGGACCACTGGGGCCAAAAACTGTGCATCCCATCATCCCCCTTGTGAGTGAAAGAGCGCACACCAAATGACAGCAGCTTTATTTGGGATGATCCTCAGGGAGAAACAACCTTCAACAGTAGAAAGGCTCATCTGTGACCGACTCAAATAAAGGATTACTAGACAGCATTAAAAAAAACCCGAACTTCTCACCAGGCGGTGGTGGCATGCACCTTTAATCCCAGCACTAGAGAGGCAGAGACAGGCGGATCTCTGAGATTGAGGCCAGCCTTGTCTACAGATCAAGTTCCAGGACAGTCTGCACTACATAATGACACCCTGTCCCCCTCTCCAAAAAACAAAACAAAACAAAAACTTCTCATATACACAATAACATGGATGAAATTGGATGTAGGGGCACATTCCAGATCTAGGGAGGTAGAGGCAGGAGGATCAGCAGTTCAAAGGCTAGTCTTCTACATGACAAGTTTGAGACCAGCTTGGATAAATGAAACAAACTAGAAAATAAAACCTCAAAATATATAGACCAGATATTCATTTCTCAGCCTGTTCACATTCCAGGCTTGTAGTGCTCGTACCCTGGGCATTCCCATGCACCCCCAGAGGGCAAGAGCCGGCTCCTTCCAGGGATCCACACCAGCGGTGCTGGACACGTGGCTGGTAGGGACTCCTGCCTGCATCTAGACAAAGAGGTCTCACAAAATGAGGGCTCATGGCTGGTCGGCCCATTTGTGACCTTACCCTTCACTTTCTTACCTAGTAATCTTGACTAATTCTGACACACTGGGCTGCACAGAATTCTAGGAAAACTGTTGAGGTGGCCTATAGTCGGGAAGTGGAAAGCTGAGAACCTAGTCTAGGAGCCAAGAAGAGCTTCTCGTAGCTGGCTAGGGGCAGGTGCCCAGAACTGTAAGCTGCAGGGACTGGGGCTGAGACTGCTTGGTCTGGCCCATCTACATCAGTTTCTAAGGCATAGCACTCCTTCCCGTCATTTCTAAATCACAGAAAAGGCTCTCCCAAGGACCAGAAAGCCTGTGAGCAGCAGCTCTGTGAAAACTCCTCTAGCTCTTTAATCGGAACGGGAAAAGGACACCTGTCTTTAACCACTCATATGTCCCGAATCTAAGACACAGCATCCTGGACATGAGGTTGGTAGAGACCTACCCTGTAGGGATGACCCTGGAGACAGACAGCCTTAAAGATTCAGCTTTCATATTGGCCTCCCTGCAGTCCTCCACTCAGTAGCTAGAATGACTATTTCAAGAATAAATCAGATTCCAAAGCTTAGATTCTCTCAAGACCTCTAAGAGGCCTATGTGAAAGATGAAGGTGGCTGGGTCAATGAACCCAGCTGGATTTAGGCACCAGGGAGAACTTTTCCTGGGGTAAGATCATTACTGAGGGCCCTGGGGGCTCTGATTGTGTAAGGGACATTATAGCAGTTTCAACATGGCTGGCTATAAACCCTAGATCTTAAGTTACAGCCTGGTTCACAGAAGAAATTATTTGGATGTTTGAGTGGCCAAAGGTTTAAGTTTAAGCCCAGCCCCCATTCTTATACGGCACCCAATTGCATTAACAAGTGAAGCTTTTTTATCTCCATGACAAGGAGCCTTAGGGATACTTTCTAGAATCCTTGCTCCACAGTTATGTGACAAAAATCCACTCCTAGTGGATTCTGAGGTCACAAAAGAGCAGTAGGAAACTCTCAGTTCAGGGCTTGGGGCTCTTTCCTCATACCAGTTCTCCAGTCCTCCTTCCTGGGCCCCCCAAATCTCCTCGAGGATGACAGGGGAAGGATAGCACCACAGCAACCTGGGTGGGACAGTCTAATACACAAGGGCACAGAACTAATACCAAGCAGCCTTTCAGTAGGCTGGCGGGAGGCAGTGTGCCTTTAAGGGCACAGAATTATCAAGGAATATAGCAGGTGGGAGACTTTCTCACATGACCCTGGGTCAGAGCATCTCTGATAAAGGACAAAGGCCTCCTTTGGTGCTTCCCATGATCCCACTGGGCACTCAGGTCTCCTCAAGCTCCTAGCTACTGCAGATGCCCACTAGCACCATTTGGGAACTGGAGAGATGGCAGCAGAGATGGCAGTGCCGTCAGGACAACGTGTGGTGTGTGTGTGTGTGTGTGTGTGTGTGTGTGTGTGTGTGTGTTCCAGGAGACTTCACAGTCGGCAGGGTCTACACCAGGCAAGTCTGCACATCTGAGGGCGGGGAGCGACACATTAGCTCCACTCCGGTCTACTGTATCAGCTGCCCTGCAAAGTCTTCAGGAAAGCGGCCGTTTCCCAGGCGCTCCTGGAGCCCAGAGATGGTGCTCTCCTTCATCTTCAGGAACTTGCTCCAGACTGACCTTGAGAGGACAGACACTGGGACTGCAGGACATCCGCCCAGTGGGGCCAGGA